AGGAATGACCCCCCCCCCAGGCCTTCAGAAATATTTGAGGCACAAATAAGGAGAGGGGACAAATTTGAGCTTTTTTCAAGTTTTTTAAAGGAAAAAAATTACACCCCTTTATAAGTCAAAAATAATTGAATTTGCCAAATTACTTTTTTTAATGAGAAAAAAGAAAATTTCTTCAGGCTTTCCTGAACCTACCCGGAGGTTGAGGACGAAGTGGAGGCTCCGTCACTTCGAAGCCTGAATAGTCCGGTAATATCTCGTCGTCCTAAACTTAATCGTCTCGAGGCTCCCGTCCATGTTCTTGTGTTTCTTGAATCGTCCTGGGACTGCATGAAAGGCTGGTTCAACAAGTCCTCCTGGTTCTAAAATCATGAATTGATTAACTCACAACTTATTTTTCTTTAAAATCTTTTGGGACAAAAGACGGATTTTGGGACATCAAATCATGCCCTTTATTGTCTGTCTTTTAAAACCGTTATATCGAAAAACTGTTTTGAAGAACTCTAAAAATATTTACTTCTGTGATGTCTTTCTTGCTCCTCTTAACTGGAGCAACATTTTCCGAACCTTCGGTCGTCTTCCGTTTCCAGTTTTCAGAAAACCTGATCACAAAAGAAAATTTTTGCTGTGGAAATTTTAATTGTGAATTGTTAAAATAAAAAATAAAATTAGAAAAGAAGGGAAAAAAGTATTTAAAGAATATTACCGGGTGGTTTTAGGTTCTATAGGTATGGTTGAATCAGATCCAGGTTTCAGGTTTGGAACTTTACTCCGGGTGCTAGAGGATACTGGAGAAACTTGGTTCCTAATTACAGTTAGTAATTAATACAGGGGATTCAAGGTTCCAAGATGGCAGATAAAGTTAGTAAATAATGCAAGGGATACAGGGTTTCTAGATACAGTTAGTAATTAATACAAGGGATACAGGGTTCCTAGATACAGTTAGTAAATAATGCAGGGGATACAGGGTACCTAGATACAGTTAGTAATTAATACAGGGGATACAGGGTTCCTAGATACAGATAGTAAATATTGCAAGGGATAGAGGGTTTCTAGATACAGTTATTAATTAATACAGGGGATACAGGATTCCTAGATACAAATAGTAAATAATACAGTAGATACAGGATTCCTAGAGACAGATAGTAAATAATACAGGGGATACAGGATTCCTAGATACAGATAATAACTAATGCAGGGGATTCAAGGTTCCTAGATAAAGTTAGTAACTAATACAGGGGATACAGGGTTCCTAGATACAGATAGTGAATAATGCAGGAGATACAGGGTTCCATACAGTTAGTAAATAATGCAGGGGATACAGGATTCCTATATACAGATAGTAAATAATGCAGGGGATACAGGATTCCTATAGATACAGATTGTAAATAATGCAGGGTTCCTAGTTAAAGATAGTAATTAATACAAAGGATACAGGGTACTCAGAAAGAGTTAGTAAATAGTACAGAAGATGCAGGGTTTCTAGATAAAGTTGGTAATTAGCAGATACAGGGCTCCTATAGATAAAGTTTGTAAATAACACAGGGGATACAGGGTTCTTAGAAACAGTTAATAAATAATACATTGGATTTATGGTTCCTAGATACAGTTAATAAATAATGCAGGGGAAACAGGGTTCCTAAATACAATTATGAGTTAATACAGGGGATACAGGATTCCTAGACACTGATAGTAAATAATACAGAGGATACAGTGTTCCTAATTAGAGCTAGTAAATAATAAAATACAGAAGATACAATACAGGGTTCCTGGATACTGCTAGTAATTAATACAGGGGATACAGGATTCCCAGATAGAGCTAGACAAATACTATAGGAAAGACAGGGTTCCTAAATAAAGATAGTAATAAATACAGAGGATACAGGGTTCCTGGATACAGCTACTTCGATAAATTGAGAAAATTTTTAAGAAACCTTAAGAAGACGGACTGTAGCTGAAGGTCAACTCACCTAGAAAGCATGGGCCTCGTTCCACTACGTGTTCTTTGCATTGTTTCTCCGATTTCACGTAAAAACTTGGCTGATATAAGATTCTGAAATAAATACTGATAATATTTACATCACATTATTTGCTTTAACTATATAAACTTTTTGAGGAATTCAGAGAACTGCGCTGCGCTGTTTACATACGCATTTATCAAAATAATCTAAAGCGTTACAGTGTACACAATTAGATTAATTTGCGCGGCCATTAGAAAACAGGTTCTAGGGATTGAGTTGACAGGAGTAAATAGCGAGCGCCGAGCAGGGGTCGCAAGGAGGGGAGGGAGAAAAGGAAGGGGAAGGAAAGGGTAAGAAATTATCCAGTACTGTGAATGTTTGAACATAGTTAATTAAATATTAACAAATTCTAAGGCCTCCGTTTCAGGATTTAGTTTATATAGAAAGCATGGATTTACGATTTCGCACAGTACACCAAACCTAGCATAAAACTATTTTTTTTTTCTCATCAACTTTGGCCTTTTTTTTAGTTTCAATACTTTCAGGAATAAAAATAAATTCATTTAAAGGAATTGAGTCATTGCCACAAACTTAAATTTTCTAATTCCAATATCTTTGCATTCTGATGAAACCGTTGATAATTCAAGCGCGCTTAGAAAATTTGAACTAATAGGCTTTATAGTTTGTTTTATATAAGGTTTACGACATAAGGTTCCGTAGATATGGGTTTAGAAAATCAAAGAATGTGGCAAAAACTCAATTTATATGTGTTATAGTGTGTTGTGTAATGTGTATTATGAAATTGTATGATGTATACTTGTTGACCATACCTTCTAACCCCCCCCCCCCCCCCTCGTAATGTTGTCTTTACCAACCCCTCCTTTCGGAGAAGTCCAAACCAAAGCAACACCCCAGAAGTTTCTCCGTACTCCAACAAAAAGGAAAACACCAAATGAATCGTTTTAACTGTGAATAATCAAATCCACAAATAACTTTGCAATCCGTAGTAAATTCCACTTAAACAGCCGGGTTGATATTTTCAGAAGTATTTCCAAATGTGTTAATCTGACCCATCACCCATCACTCCTTAATTACCCCCTAACAAATCCAATTAGTAAGTTTATTTTGTTAAACAATAAAACAATGTAACACCTTTATTCATTTTATCAAATAACAAACAATGTCTTACTAATAACTAATTCCACTAAAACTGAATTTTATAGGTTTGAAATAAATTCATTTATTGAGATTATGTGTTATCCAAAATTTATAAAATGCTGTTTTATTAACCCACTGATATTGATAATGGAATGCCACAGAATTTTTTTTTTTTAAATAAAATATTTATATGGAGTTCTTTAAAAATGCCCTCATACATTTCATGGCTATTTATTTATTTTTACAAAAAAAATAGATGCCGAAAAAAAAACTATTACTATTTTTAGAAAATTCTAGACAGCATTTTATAAATTCTTAGGATTTCTCCAAAGTTCTGTGTTTAACTGTGTCAGAGTTAACATTTACATTGTTTAACTTTTGGGAAATAGAATTTTTAGAAATCAATTTAACTTAAACTTTTTCGCTAGGTTTGGCTGGTCAGAAGTATAACATTTTATAATTAAGACTGTTTTTAGTTTAGAGGATTAAAATGCCAAATAGCTGCTAAGAATGTGAAACTTTTTGGATATTTTAAGCACATACTTAAACACAGGGTTGTTAATCGGTTTTGTAAACGATCGTTAAACAATCGTTTTTTTGTTTCGTTTTCAAAAACGATCGTTTCGTTTTTTGAAAAAAACGATCATTTTAAAAACGACCCACTCGTTTTGAACTTTTAGAAAACGAATAGCGATCGTTTTTGAAAATGATCGTTTATATTAAAATGATTTGGGACCGTTTTTATGCGATTGTTTTTTAAAAAACGATTGTTTTTGAAAAAAATGATTGCTTCTGAAAAAAAATTTTATTGACAATTATGTTAAGGATCGTTAACGAAGGGTCGACGTTAACCATTGTTAACGAAGGGTCGTCGTTAACCATTATTAACGAAGGGTCGTCGTTAACAATCATTAACGAAACAACAAACTTTATCAAAACGTTCGTTTTTGGAAACAAATTACATGCAACTTTATTGAATGTCGTCTTACATGAAGTTTAACAGTTGTGGGGGAGTTAAAACTTCTTGATATTTTCTTAAAACTACTCAATGATAAGTACAGATGCCCTTCAGGTCGGTTTCCTCTCTTTGTTAACGATCGTTAACGAAGGGGTCGTTGTTAACAATCGTTGACGAAGGGTCGTCGTTAAAGATCGTTAACGAAGCGACGAATTTTAAAAAACGGTCGTTTTGAAAATCGATCGTTTTTAAAAACAAGCGTTTTGAAAAACAATCGTTTTAAAACGACCATTTTAAAAAAACGAGCTTTTTAAAAAAAGGATCGTTTTTAAAAACGATCGCTTCGTTTTCGATTTTTTGTCGTCGATTCATAACGAAACGATCGTTTTTCTGAAAAATGAAAACGTTAACATCCCTAAACACAACAAGTTGTCCTCTGCTTCTTAGAAAAGTTGCGACATACGGAAAAAAGTTTTTGTAATAATATTTCTGGATCAATTTCAAATGGAATAATTTTCATTCCGTAAACTTTTTTTCAGCATGTCACACGTAGTTTTGTGTAGCTTATTTGTAGTTTAGTTGAGATAAGTTTGAAAACTCCTTTACACTCACCATAGTTCCACCACTAATGCAATATTATAGTTTCAGTAGAAGTAAATATTTCCATTTACTGCATATATTGCCGATTGAAGGATTCATAACTCTGATTGGATAATGAGATAGATAGAAAGATAGATGTTACCGCCATACTATTTCTATTGGTTCAGAATAGACAACAAATACTTGACTGAACCTTGATTGGATCAGGCGCTAATGGACTCGGCATACAAGGAGTTACCATAAAGGACCTTTTTTAGGATATACATAAAATGAAAATACATATTATAGGGCTTAGAAAAATGTATCTGTTGATTAAACACTCATGCCATGTTTAAGTAAATCGAAATAGTATTTTAACAAAAACGTTAAGTCTACTAAAAATGTCGAATTAAACCACTGTGCATATATTGTGGGTAAAACCAAGAGACGAAAATAACAAATTTGTCAGTTTATAGTTAGTATCGGGAAATATACAGGACTGAACCTAACTCTATCAAATTTACCCTTAAGAGGGAATAAAACCATTTAAAGCCATTAATTAATTATACCGTGGCCTGACTGCCTGAATGAACTTTCGTATAGTTTGAAAATGCATTTTCTGCGAAGTTATTGATTAAGCAAGGTGTAAAACTATGTTTCCGAATCCTCTTGGAGTACAGTCACGTGAACCCAGGCCAACCAGTGTAAATACTTTAGACGTGATGTCCCTTCTAGGTAGGCTTAATAGGTTTGATTTATATAAGTTTAAATAGATTTTAAAAAGGTTTAACCTTTAAGCAAGGTTTAACTTTTAAACAAGGTTTAACTTTTAAACAAAGTTTAACTTTTAAACCAGGTTTAACTTTTAAACAAGAGATGGAATTTAAAGAATTTGAGCCGCGGTTTAAATCTACCAAAACCCGGTTTAAATTAAGCACCGGCTTAAATCTTGAAACATTTGATACAATTTTAAGTGGAACCAACCATATATAAGCCGCGGCTTAAATCTAAACCGCCGCTCAAATTCTTTAAATTCGGCCAAAGGTTTAACTTTTAAACAAGGTTTAATTTAAACAAGGTTTAATTTAAACAAGGTTTAACTTTTAAACAAGGTTTAACTTAACATTGCACATTTGTTTTCTTTGTTTTTCTATTATGTAATCATCAAAGAACTGTTCCGCCTAACTTCAGTTATTTTCAGCATAAGAAAATTAATATTTATCATGTTTATATCTTTAAATATCTGACAGAAATTCGATAATATATCATCAAAACTTAAAGTTTTAAACTATTTAAGCATTATTGCAATTTGAGGTTTCTTCCAAATTTCTAATTTTTTTTTTAGAATTCTTATACTTTTAGAGGGTCACCAACTAAGAATGTCTTTTTATAGTTACCGATAATCCTGTATATAAAAAGTAGTAATCTCTGTTTGTTTGGTTAAAAAGCTGGGTGTAAGAGTTTTAAGTTGAAAGTATGTAGATTGCCTTTTATAAGGAAAACTTAGTTTACAGGCAAAGCAAGATTTCCTAGGGCGGCCCTGGGAAAATGTTTCAGATGTGCGTTTTCTTTTTGAATAGATGTATATGTAGCTAAGATGTATATGTTGCTAAGAAAAATCAAAAATATTTTTTGGGGGAATTAGAATTAACAAATTTTCCGAAAGAAAATAGTTTTATTTTATTTTTTCCTTCAAAGTAGGATCTGTGGTTTCTAAAATTATATTAAACAACATTCAAAGTCAAAAACCATGTGTTTTATAAACATTTTAAAAGTGCAGGTTGAAAATGTCCATAATAAATTTTCAAAATAAGAGAGAATTACAATTTAAAAAAAAAATGCAAAAACGGAGTTTTTGAACTCTTAATAAATCAACCATTTTAAAGTGATTTCCAAAAGAAAGGACATTTAAAACTAGTTAGTTACTAATTACATTTTGCCATATTCATTGTAAGTTATAGGGTTACCCACAAAGGATGAGACTTCAAAGACGATTGTACGAAAAGTATATTGTCTGTTTTCTTAGATTCCTGAGGCCGAATTTAAAGAATTTGAGCGGCGACTTAAATTTAAACCGCGGCTCAAATATGGTTGATTCCACTTAAAATTGCATCAAGTTTTTCAAGATTTAAGCCGACGCTCAATTGAAACCGGTTTTTGGTTGATTTAAGACGCGGGTTAAATTCCTTAAATTCGGACACTGATTACTTGCCACTTGTTGCTTTCTTTGCTAAATCATTTGAAAAGCTAATAAAATACTATATTCAAGGCAGAAGTCTTAACTTAACCTTGAGATCGCCATATTTTAATAGTTTTAGGTCGCCTTTGTATAGGGGGGGGGGAGGGTTAAATGTTTTTATTGATATTATTTGTATATATTTGTATAGGTTCTACACCAGGTTCCCCTGCCAAGAATTCCAAGGGATCCCCTGGACTAGATCCAGATAATCCCTTCTATGATGCACGAGAGGATCCTTCTAAACATCCTTCTCAACATCCTTCTCATACAAACCCTCCAGAAAGCAATGGATTACAGGTATATCTATACTATCTATACTATCTATACTATCTATACTATCTATACTATCTATACTATCTATACTATCTATACTATCTATACTATCTATACTATCTATAATATCTATACTATCTATACTTTGCGCCCATCTTCTATTTCAACCGTGAACCCATTTCCTCTTTGTAGATATAAAAATAACAATTTCATAGGCTCTTAAAGTTTCCAACTGAAGTCAGTAAATTTGCTAAAAATAAAAATAATCTCCGTTTGCACAATTTTTTATAAGGGTCTAACAGACTTGCTTGTCATTGGATTTTCAAGATTGAGACCATTTTTTAAATCTACATACAATTTACGATTCAATGAGTCCAATTTTAAGCTTGTAGATCTAAAAAATAAAAATTTTATAAACTCCTAAAGTTTCCAACTAGAGCGAAGTAAAAAGTAAAAGATAATTTCCGTTTGCACAATTAAATATTCAATGTTAGTTTACAGTTTATTACAGTAAAATTGTTTTTTTAGATCTACAAGCCTAAAATAGGGTTCATTGAATCAGAAATTCTACGATGATATAAAAAATTGTTTCAATCTTGAAAATCCGATTTCAAACAAGTCTGCAAACGGAGATTATCTTTATTTTTACCAAATTTACTCACTTCAGTTGGAAACTTTAGGAGCCTTTAAAATTGTTATTTTTAGATCAGAAAAGCCTAAAATGGAGCTTATTAAATCGGAAATTGTAAATAGATTTTAAAAAGTGGTCTCAATCTTGAAAATCTGATTTCAAACGAGTCTGTGTAGACCCTTATTCCCCGTTTTTTTGAGACACCCTGTATATTTCTAGAAATTCGAGAAATTAGAAGACGACATTTAAGAAAGTTTGAACCCTTTATTATAAATATATAATTTTAGGGGGGGGGGGGAGATTAAAACAGTGTTTTGCATATTTGGATAATTGTGGTCGACACGAACGAATATAAAAAGAAAAAAAACTATTTGTGAAGAAAAAAATGTGAATTTTTAACGAAATGAAAATAAACAAACGCAGTTTTGAAAACTGTGGATACTCAGAATAAAATAAATATAACTTTTTTGAGAGTGTTCTTAAGCTTTATCTTTAAGGGACTGTGAGTGTAATTTCAAGTGACCCTCCATCAGGGAGTATGGAATAGAAGGGAGATACAACTGACGCGGTTCGCCCTACCATATGATTATGCATGCTTTGCAGACGGGTGCTCCATTTGTATAAGAAATTTCAGAATAGATTATTGTATTCGTGGTAATTGTACATAAGATATATTTGTCTGATGTACAATTACCGCGTATACAATAACCTATTCCGAATATTTTTTATACAAACGGAGTACCCGTCTGCAAAGCATGCATAATCATATGGTAGGGCGAACCGCGTCAGTTACTCCCTGCCCTCCATCCAAAGATTCTGCTGCAGGAAATAATACAAGAATGATCAGAATTCAGCTCTTTTAAACTACAATATCATATAAAGGGTTCAAGGCCTACCGTTTTCAATCGGACATTGTCATCTTTACATAGAAGGCCAATTGATATTACTCTAACAGTCTCTTTAAGTATAAAATTCCCAGGCAAAGCCGGTTACCTAAGCCATTATATCTAAGGATTACCAAAGCTATTTTATAACTATCTAGGGATTAATGAAGACTCTAGGAGAACATGATGATAAACCTGGAGCTGTACCCCTGGACCCTGGTGGTAGGGGTAGTATATATCCAGGTGTAGTTACTTACTTACTTACTTACTTACTTACTTACTTACTTACTTACTTACTTACTTACTTACTTACCTACTCATGTCCCCAGTATGAGGTCAAGAGGCCTTAAAACCCAGCCAGGTGTAGTGATGAGCATTCAGTTTGTTAGTTTTTGTTTCGTTTTTACCCTTTATTTTCTTTTAAGGTCAAAAATAGACATCGGATAAAAAACGCAATTGTTTCTAAAATTGTTTTTTCTAAACATTTGCTTATCTTTGACTATGCCAAATTTTGACCTTAATAGAAAATAAAGGCATAAAAATATATAAAAATATTGTATTTATTGTATTTTGTATTTGGCGGATTTTCATGGTTGGAATTGGCGGATTCGAGGGATTTGATTAGGATATGAAACATTGAGGAGACTAATTCTCCACTGAAACCAACTAAGGTCGGTTTTATTATAATTGGTTGAACCTAAAAGCTGACAGCGGATTTATAAGTTGGGTCTAAGATTGAGCCTTAAACCCGGGTCTAAGGATTTAAGACCCGAGCCAAAGCTTTTAAATCGAGGGCTTTTTTTATTTATTTAATAAACAAACCAAACATTTAACAATACTACATACATCTAGGGATACAGGATATACAGGATAAGAGTATTGAGGATATCATGGATACCCTAGAGTGCCCGGTTTGCCTAGAAACAGCAGATACAGAACCTATTTACCAGGGAGGATATTCAAAATAAAAAAACATATTTGAACTAAATGTAAATAATAACATGCAGTGGTCTCCATAAATCTAAAGAATACAACGCCTAAAATATTTTTATAAATAATCAAATAAATTCATGTGGTGGGTTCTCTGAATAGACTGATTTCAAGAGAATAGTAAAACTATTTGTTTTGTGTCAACATATCAAATACGTTTAAGATTTATTAAATGTCGTCCTTAAATTCCACAGTTTAGTGGGGACCACTGTTCTTAATAAAAATTGATGAATAACAGATTTAAACCAAAAAGATAAAAAATCATGTGTAAATAAAAACAAAAAATTTTAAATTTTACTTAAATCAAATGTATTAAAAATAAACTTTAAGAAAAATTATTTAAAAATATACTTAAATGGAGCCGTTGCCTTATCACTACTTTGTACTTACAATCTGCAATTTCAATATTTGTAATCTCATGTTTTCTGTTTATAAGCAAATATCTCCTGTTGGGAAAAGAAAAAAATTTACCCAGGAATATTCCTTAAAAAGTTTTTTTTGGGTTAAATTGAAACAAAATTGTCCGTTAAGAGCAAAAAGATTGATTTGAATTGCGTCAACAATTCTATTCAATTCCAAATTGATTGAATCAAATATACAAGAGTTTCCCATGGTATTATTAGATCGTGTCTAACTAGCTCTAAATTTCTTTTTTGAAACATAACAGATGATACAGTGATAACCAGAAAACTGTGGAATAGAAGACGACATTAAAGCAATACTGAATTGCATTTTATGCTGTTACAAAGCAAATAGCTTTACTAAATTATTAAATAACTTATTAAGTCACCTGGGTCTGTTTACATTGCACAATTGCTCTGCTTCGTGTTCATTAAACTATTTAATGTGATGAATTGAGTCTAAAAGTCGACTTCCTATTCTAGAATTTTCTGGTTATCACTGTAGTATTTAAAAAATTGTTTTAGGCAAATATTAAATATATGTGAGGGTTCTTAGGCGTTCAAGTTTGACTATAAATCCGGTTCATATTCAAGTACCGGGCCGACTTGACTTTTAACTAGCTGGGGCATATTCAAGTACCGGGCCGACTTGACTTTTAACTAGCTGGGGCATATTCAAGTACCGGGCCGACTTGACTTTTAACTAGCTGGGGCATATTCAAGTACCGGGCCGACTTGACTTTTAACTAGCTGGGGCATATTCAAGTACCGGGCCGACTTGACTTTTAACCAGCTGGGGCTAGCTTACAGTTATACACATACAGACCATATAATACAAAACGGGACAGTACACCACATGAATCAACCTTAATATAATAGGGGACGCTCTGCACAAAACGGGACAATACACCACATGAATCAACCTTAATATAATAGGGTACGCTCTGCACAAAACGGGACAGTACACCACATGAATCAACCTCAATATAATAGGGTACGCTCTGCACATATATCGAAAACGGGACAGTACACCACATGAATCAACCTCAATATAATTAGGGGACGCTCTGCACATATATCGAAAACGGGACAGTACACTAATGAATCAACCATAATATAATAGGGTACGCTCTGCACATATATCGAAAAAGTTCTATACATTAAAGTTTTGAATATCATAATACTGTACAGTGTCCTGAGGGACATCTTATCTGCAATGAATGTAACAGTAAACTGGTGGACTGTCCACAGTGTGGACATTCCCTCCTAAATGCAAGGTAACGACACAAATGGTCTTTTAATGTTTTAAAATTAATTTTTAATGATTAAAAAGAGTGAAAACTGTCTTCTGCATTTAGAAAATAAAATATATATTGAGTATTTAAAATCGAGTTATATCTAACAGATTTAAGTTGTGGTTGAAAAATGAAAAAAATCGTTGAAACTCTAGTTATGTTTTAGAACTAAAATGTTTTATTTAAATTCTGTAAATTCTGAAAATTGGTAAATTGGCTGCAAAAGTGATAAAAATATTTAGGAACCGAACAGCTGAGATTTTGGCGGGAAAACTCAGAGATCTGAAGGTAAATATTGTCTTTAATGGAAAAGTATTTTTTTCCGATATTTTTCAAAATTTTTAATTTTCCAGGGGGACAAAGTTCGCGGGATAGCATCCTCTCAAACCATGACAGTAGGGGTGGATAATCCCCAGAAAGCCGGAAAGGGAATGTTCGCGTACATTACGTACCGCGTCATCACGAGGATTGGCCTCTCTAGCGGCGAAGAGACGAACTACAGTGTGTACAGAAGATTCAAGGATTTTAAAAAACTAGATGATAAACTACAAATGAATTATTCTAAGAAATGCATAATATTACCGCCCCCGCCTGATGATAGCAAAATAACATCTGTGTGGAGTAAAGTGTCGAATCTAAATAACAGCGGGCTGGATCGGGTCATTGCTCTGAGATGTAGAGAACTAGACAGATATATGAATAGGAACAAGATTTAATGTAAATCAAAACTTAATTAAAGGGACTGTACGCGTAATTGCAAGAGTTAACATTTTAACCCGATTAACAAGTGTGCCCTTGAAATTGCTTCGTTTGATCAAGTAAAGACTTATATCTATCAATGCTTATAATTTTGAAATTTGCCTATTTTCAATTGTGGCTTTTTTATAGAAAACTGTGACGTGCACATTTCTACTGCAGGAAACCTTTCGTAGTTTTCAGTTTGAACCTAGCAAAAACGACAATATCTTCCATATTATTGACTAGATAAAAGTTTCAAGGCTAACTTTGTGAAACGAGCTAGCTATTACTTAACCGCACAGATTTGATCTACTAGATCCGGTGTAGACGAGAAGTGGTTTAACTTAGTCTATCGGATCAACTATTCATGTTTATTCATTAATTCTGGTCACAGACTTGCCAAACATCCTTTTGTAAGAAAAGATCCAGATTTTAGAACATTTCTTCAGGAACCATCATTTAATCAGTTGAAAATTGATCAATTTAATGAAGACGTCTTGCGATTTTAATTTTGATTTATATCAAGCTGTTAAACAGCTGGATACACATATAAGCATGAAAGTTAAGAGAAACTGTAGATTGATAAAGCTTTTCTTTGATTACTTGTAAAATAGCGATTCAAAAAAGCTTGTTACAATCAAAGTTTAAATAAGAATGTCGTCTTCATGGATACAATCGCCTACCACTGTATTCAACCTTATCAGGAACTCAAATCATAATGGTTTTTGCATAATTAGGCGCATTGCAAACATGAAATTTATGAATAATTAAACTTTTGGCTTGATTATTATAGATAGGCCTCTGTAGCTATTCCTTTCTGCCTGTATATTAGCTTTTTTTAAATTATTTTAATTTCAGTATTTTTTAATACAAATGGATAATGTTTTGTTTTTTTACATTTAATTTTATTAATCTTTTCAAAAATTAGTTTTCAAAAACTTTTTTAGAAATGGTTAACAGCTATCAAATGCTAAAAATATTTGAACAGAATAATTAGAATAGCTAAAAGTATTTATCGGGGTATAATAAAATATTATTATAAATTTTTTTAAATCCACTATTATTCAGAAAAAGATTCTTCACAGTGAGTACACATTATTTTGATTTAAAGTTGCAGAAATTATAAAAATGTAACTTTGTATTTTGTTTGAAAGTTTGCTTCGAAACTTTAAATCGGTTTCATTAGCTTAATTTCTTGTCAGGCTAGATTTAGATTTTAGATATAAAACATCAAGGTTGTAATGCAAGGAAAGTTAATTGCTGTCGTGTATACACTGCGTATATATTGAAACCAGTTCTCTCTGGGCGGAATTTGTAAACAAGAATAGATGCATCAGTGTTTGTTTAGTATCCGAGGAGATTAAAAGCATTACATTTTGATAATTCACAAAATAGTTTCCTATGACCAGAATATTTCATTGATTGTTTATGTGAAAGATGGATCCCATGTCAGGCTTTGACATCCGTCTTGTGTATACATTACCGCCCACTACGTTCAGAGACAGTACACTGCAGTACAAAAGATGCGTACACTTCTGAAATAACTCGTTGTGAATCGGGCAGGTCCACCATTTAATAGCTCGTACTTGTTCATGAATTTCAACAGTTTAAAAAAAATAACAAAAATTATAAAAATATTTTAATATCCCATTTTTCAAAGTGATGTTTGTCACATTAAAGTTAAACCCTTTTATAAAATAAATGTGTTTTTTTGTACTAATCTTTAAATTGTTAAAGTTAAATAATCCTCATTTTCTTGCATTAGTTTAAACATAAAGATGGAGAAAATAGAGTTTTTTTTTGAAAGCTCTCTGTTTTAAGACCTAATTTGCAACTCATTTCTATAATGATTAAACTGTTGGTTGAAGGAAGGAAAAGTAGCGGCATCTCTCGAGGTAAAGAAGGGATTTGGCGCCATTTTGGCGGAAAAACTGGATTTTTCCAGAACAAGGAACAGGTTAACCATGAATGACAACGATATCTGGTTCAAGACAAAGGAGCTTCATCACAAGGAACTGAGAAATCAGCTGATTCAACTTAAGAAAGATATAAAGTAAGTACAGTACAGGGTTATCCACAAAGAATGAGACTTCAGAGAAAACTGTACGAAATTTATATTGTCTGTTTCATCACGTTGAATTGTAAAATTGTCTTTTTCTCTGCCAAATTATTTAATCAGTCGTTTCGACGTTTGCGATCGTCAAATCTTTAAAGTCGTATTTACCGTCTTATTCTTTGTGAGCAACCCTGTATGTTAGATTTTTTTTTCAATATAATTATTTCAACTCAATACTTTGGGACCCAATTCAAAGGCCCTAAGATGAAACGAAACATTTGTGCAGTGTAAACAGATCCGCTGAACTTTAAAAACGTATTTTTAATTCTACTGATTAAACTATTAGGTAAAACAAAATCAAATACATATGAGATTGCTTATGTCGTCTTTCTATAATTCCAAAGTTTTATGGTTTCCACCGTACTGAAGAAATGATATGATACAATCTTATGGCTGTAATTCTCTAGAAACAAGAAAAGGAGTAGTCTTTGTCATAAAACTTATTTGATAATTATCTACTTACAACATTGAGTTGTAAAAATTAGATAGAGGGATTAAACCTCAGCTCCTTTCTATGTTTTTCAAATTCTTTAATTTTAAACTTACATTAAGGATTATGAGCCAGGAGAAGATGGATTTGTTCTTGGCAACGACGACATTTCGTCGTAATCTTCTGCAACTAGTGGCACCTGGCGGCGGACAAAGAATGTCTGCTCGTAGTACCAAGGAACGGGAAGGAGATGATCTTATTAGAAAGGTTGGTGGAAGTGGAAACCATAAAATTGTAAAATAATGTTTTAACTTCAGCAAGTTGGTTTTCGTAATTGATGGAGAGTGGGAGCATTTGTCAGATAGTTCACAGACTATGTCTGAGACACGCTTGGACTGAAAGATGGAGCCGTAAAATGTATCCAGAAGAAATTCTGTGTCTATACATTCTTTGGAATGTATAATCTATCCAAAGAAACATTTACGTGACCAAGATTTTAATTTTTTAACTCTTTTTAAAGCCAGGTTCGATTTTTGTACTTTCCAAGTTACAAACACTATTTGTTTTGTGGTATCAACGATTAAAGCGCGCAATTAAAAACGTAATTATTAAACGTATTGGTCCGAAATTCTTTCCATAGAAATTTTTAAGATAAAAAACCTGTAAAAGTTTCCTTGAGGCCGAATTTTAAGAATTTGAGCGGCGGCTTAAATTTAAACCGCGGCTCAAACATCCCAGCTGGAAAATTTCTCTCGATCGGAATTCCGATTTCTGACTTGAGGAATTCCGGCGTAGGAATGAAATTGCTCCGATTTTCCATTCCGATCTGTTCCGATCGTACATGAAGCGGAGATCGATAGCGTAAACAGGTCGGATGAACCGATCGGTTTACCGATCGGTCTAACGATCGGTAGACCGACACCTGTAGAGAAAAAGGACAATTGTTTTATGTGGCAGTAGTCCTGTCATTTCCAAAATGTGGTCTGCCTTTTTTGTGCTTTCAATATTGCCCGAGATATGAAGAATTTCGTTCAGATTTCGACAATTTTGCTTTTATTTAGCAAAATTGAAATCTGAACCAAACTCTTTATATCTCCGGTAATATTGAAAGCACAAAAAACGCAGACCACTTTTTGGAAATGCTAGGGCTAGAAGAATTATGTGATAATTGTTTCAAGAATCATACATGTTAAAGTAGATAGAAGAATAAATGTCAAAAATAAATTCAAATATCAAAGATGACTTCAAGTCGTCTTGCAATTGTCATGTTTCGTGGGACACCCTGTATCTATCAATGTTCATTTAAACACATATTTCCAAGGAGATATTAAATAGAAGGCAGCTGATCTAATGTAAACATAACATGAGTTAGTATAAACTGTTAAAGTAGCATTATCAATTGTTAAAAAAGATTGAAAAAGTTAAGGATTTTAGTTTTATACGAAAAGGACCAATTATTACAGAGACATTTTCAATCAAATTCAAATCCTGCCCCCCTCCCCTAGATGTCTGTTTATCATTTGTGTTATTGTTTACAATCTTTTATATCATTGTTACGCAAAAAAGTTCTTCAGCAGTCCAAAAACCTTACAGCAAAGTGTACGGAAACCCTATCGCCCCCTCCTTCTATTAAATATTTCCTTGCATATTTCTAAACATGATCTATATATAATAATTATTAAATCTAGTGAAAGGCCAATTTATGCATTATTATAATTATAAATAATAGATATCATAGAATAATCAGGGATATTTTCACGTTTGGATTAATGACTGAATTGTTGACTGTCTTGAGGGTTGAAGTTGAAGATTGATGATTAATGCTAATCAGCTAAATCATGGAAAATTCTTTATTACTATACATAAAGAGCATTCCATGACTTAAAAAATTTCGCAATTGTTATACGCAGGTCATGCAGATCTCATCATGTAGAAACTTTCTGAACAAATTGAGCAGCGTGCTTACACCTTGAAGAAATGAATTAAACTGGCTAAGATTTGACAAATGAGCGCGCTTTTCAGCGGGCCCTCGTTTTTTATCATCCTTTTTCATTTCATATCGGAAGAAACAGTTTGTCTTTTCATCCTCAAAGTTCAACAGACGGACTAATAAATTAGTTTTGATCCGACGATGGAGTCAAACTCCGACAGCAAACAATTGCGGACTAAAAAAAGACAGCTTTTAATCATCCGATGCCGGAGCTCCACAAAAAGACATTTGCGGATGAAAAAAAGATTTCCGATCACAGTTGAAAGTAAGAAAACGGTGGAAAGAAAAAATAATTTTCCAGCTGGGATCGTTGGTTCCACTTAAAATTGTATTAAGTTTTTCAATATTTAAGCCGATTTAAACCGGTTTTTGGGTGATTTGAAAATTCATTAAATTCGGACACTGGTATATTTATATTTTAAAAGATAAAAATTTTCCTGTATGATAATTAAAGGACCATCCATATATAGTATGACTTTGGTGATTTATATATTACTAGCTGAAGGGCGCTGCGTTGCCAGTGAAAAAAAAATTTGGAAAAAAAATTGATGACTTTTTTTTTCGATTTTCGATTTAGCCTATAACATCGTCCACCCATGAGTGTCCACAAAGAAATGTCTTGTTTTATTATAGATTATCAGGGGGGTCTGAAACAATTTTTTATTTCACTTTCAAATTTCCATGCTTCATTTTGAAGAACTAATTTTTTCTATTTTGCCTATTGATAAATGTGTATTTTTTTTACAAAAAAAAACTACTTTGTTATTACAACAAATCTGTAATGCACGCATGCATTACACATTGATACATATATAATACAGTAATATTATTTTTATGGTTTGTATGTCCGATCACACTCATGAACGACGTGAACCTCATGACCGATTTGCCTCAAATTTTGAATGTAAAACTCGGCATAACGTTCTTGACATCAAACTTCTTTAATAATAATCGTTCTGATGTATAGAGTTACGAAAAATAATCTTTAAATTGATTACATGTACTTGTTTAAATGTTATTTTTTTAGCAAGTAAATTTATATTTTTATAAAGTTAAATTCATTAATATGAATACATCGGAAAAATTGGTAAAATGTCGTCTTTTTCACTTTTCACTTGGTTTTGCTGCTGTTATGAAGCTGTTATGAAGCTGTTGATAGCTTTTTATTTACCTGTACAAAAAATAAATTTAGTAAACTATAAAATGTTTTTATAGTAAACTATACATAAAACTTTGAAAGCTAAGGAAAATGCAACTGACAGCTTTAGTTTCAAATTCAAGGCGATATTATATAAATTACAATTTAAAAAAAGAAAAACTGACAGGACTGATTAGATTTTCTAATCAAACAAAATGTCTTGTCTTTTAATGTGTTGGATGGCTGGCTTAAGTTTCCAATGAAAGATAAAAATAGGCGAGCTAATGTCCACTGCCCAGTAATACTAAGGATTGAGGTTTCAGATTAAAAAATGTCCGAAAAATTCTCATAAATATTTTTTATTAATACAGAAAGAAAAATGAAAACAGATTTAAGCATTAAAATAAAGTATGCTCATAAATGCATTTGTCTTGTTCTTGTGTTTTATGGTGAGAATGAACACAATAAATATATTCTGATAATCTTTTGATTCACAAACATTGTATCCATTGTAGCTAGCACTGATTTATAATGATTTCAATTTATAATTACTTTTCCCGTTTACATATTTATCCTTGGTTGGATCCTGTAAACCCGCAATATATTTAGTTGTCGTCTTTGTTACAGGTAGTACTTCGGATGAAAAACATATATTTTATAGCAAAAGCACAATAAAGCACAGCGGTTTCGGGATAATCTGAATATATAGATTCTAACAGCCATATAGAAAAGGTTTAGGGGCGCCAGCAGCACGCCAAAACCTTGATATAGTCAGAGTGCCGTGTTGAAAAATCCTATTTTCGATTAAATAGCAGGTTTTCGGTCGAAATTCTTAACTAAAACATAATATTAAAACAACTTAGAGACTTTTTTGAAAAAAAAATCTTAAAGGAACAGACCGGCTATGTAAGGTAGTTGAACTGAGTATGCAGTGTTGTGGACAAATTCTTTAGGATTCATTTGAGACATATGAAACTTTTTAAAGATCTGTAAATCCTGAGTTTGAGTGCAAAGTTGATGTTCAAAATCGTACTTTTGGGTGGATATGTTTGCAGAGTTTTTTTAAAATTATTTAATAACGACGAAAGAAAATGTAAACAAAATTCTACAGTAAACTAATTAGTTGTTCAGGAACAGGTTGAGAAAATAAAAATTAATCTTATCATCGAAAATAAGTAATTATTAGTTTCTATTTTCTCATTATTCACAAAGATTTTCTGCAGATTTTCTGGAATTATTATTAAAAAGACGACATTTGAAGAATTTGTAGAAGATAAGAAAATAAGAAATTCAATATAATGACGAAAACGAAATAATTGATTTTAGCATTGATTTATTGACAAATTTCTTTTGAGAAATATGTTCCTATTTTTTGTCGTTGTTATTTAATGATTTAAAAAAAAACAGATTTTGAAAACGTACCCACCCAAATTCATGATTTTGAACGTCGACTTTGCACTCAAACTCAGTAATTATACATCGTGGAAAAGTTTTATATGCCTCAAATGAATCCTAAAGAATTTGTCCACAACACTGCATACTCAGTTTAACTACCTCACATAGCCGGTCCGACCCTTTAAGCGGCCAAGCCTTATTTGACATAAATAAGAGGTTTATGGAATATATTCATGTTGGCTGACCCTCCCCTAATACCCTACTGTGCCCCAGGAGCACATTTCAATATTGTCTCTTTAGTAAAATGTTTAGCTAACGCCATGTAAGTTTTTGTTTATTTCCATATTGAGGATAGAGAGGATGTTTTTGTTTGACTAAGTTAATTAGAACCGAGTGGATAGACATGGAACACACAATCCACAGTTTACATAGTTTAGTTGGATATCCTTCAGTATGCAATGTGTCTCACCAAAAATGATCATTTACCCTGTTTAAAATTTTGAAAAATATAGTTCGTCATTCGTTTAACATGCTCAGACATAATCGCAGACAAGGTTAAAATGCAAGGAAACTTAATTGCAGTTGCGTATACGCTACGTAGATACTGAAACCAGTTCTCTCTGGGCGGAATTTGTAAACAAGAATAGATGCATCAGTGTTCGTTTAGTATCCGTGGAGGTTAAAAGCATTAAATCTTGTTAATTTTGATAATTCACATAATAGTTCCTTGTGGCCAGAATATTTCATTTATTTTTTATGTGAAAGATGGATCCCATGTCAGACTTCGACATCCGTCTTGTGTTTACATTACCGCCAAGAGACAGTACACTGCAGTACAAAAGATGCGTACACCTCTGAAATAACTTTCCTTGCATTATAACCTTGATAGCAGATATCCTTGTCTTCTAGATAGCAGATCTGCAGAACGGAATGGCAGATCTATACCTGAATCAGGCGGAGGCAGATGATCTGCTAACTTTCCTTGCAATAGACTACCTCAAGCTCCTAGGCAGATCAAATATTTTCTATTTTTTCAAAGATTTTCTTTTCATCTTTAACATAGCTTTCAATTTTAAATAGTGATTGATTTGATAACATCGATCAATCCAAGACGTTTTTATTACACTATCATGTTTATTTGAAGACCATGTAACTAGCAAATATATAAATATGATTTTATATAGATGCAGTAGATCTCAGTATGTCGGATAGATTACAAGCACTTAAGGTATAGCTAATCTATCTATGGTTGGGCTCATATAACTGACTATACACTATTAGCCGAATACTCTATTAGCTGACTACTTTATTAGCTGACTTCTGACTACTCTATTAGCTGACTACTCTATTAGCTGACTACTCTATTAGCTGACTACTCTATCAGCTGACTACTCTATTAGCCGACTACTCTATTAGCTGACTACTCTATTAGCCGACTACTCTATTAGCTGACTACTCTATGAGCTGACTGCTCTATTAGGTGACTATTCTATTAGCTGAATACTCTATTAGCTGACTACTGTATTAGCTGACTACTGTATTAGCTGACTCTATTAGCAGACTACTCTATTAGCTGACTACTCTATCAGCTGACTACTGTATTAGCTGACTACTGTATTAGCTGACTACTGTATTAGCTGACAACTCTATTAGCAGACTACTCTATTAGCTGACTACTCTATCAGCTGACTACTGTATTAGCAGATTACTGTATTAGCTGACTACTGTATTAGCTGACTACTGTATTAGCTGACTACTCTGTGAGCTGACTACTCTATTAGCTGACTACTCTATGAGCTGACTACTGTATTAGCTGACTACTCTATTAGCTGACTACTCTATTAGCTGACTACTTTATAAGCTTACTACTCTATTAGCTGACTACTCTATTAGCTGACTACTCTATTCGCTGACTACTCTATTAGCCGACTACTCTATTAGCTGACTACTCCATTAGCTGACTACTCTATTAGCCGACTACTCTATTAGCTGACTACTCCATTAGCTGATTGCTCTATTAGCTGACTACATTATGAGCTGACTACTCTATTAGCTGACTACTCTATTAGCTGACTACTCTATTAGCCGACTACTCTATTAGCTGACTAGTCTATGAGCTGACTGCTCTATTAGGTGACTATTCTATTAGCTGAATACTCTATTAGCTGACTACTGTATTAGCTGACTACTCTATTAGCCGACTACTCTATTAGCTGACTGCTCTATTAGGTGACTATTCTATTAGCTGAATACTCTATTAGCTGACTACTGTATTAGCTGACTACTCTATTAGCTGACTACTCTATTAGCTGACTGCTCTATTAGATGACTACTCTATTAGCTGACTACTGTATTAGCTGACTATTGTATTAGCTGACTACTGTATTAGCTGACTACTGTGTTAGCTGACTACTGTATTAGCTGACTACTGTATTAGCTGACAACTCTATTAGCCGACTACTCTGACTACTCTATGAGCTGAATGCTCTATTAGGTGACTATTCCATTAGCTGAATACTCTATTAGTTGACTACTGTATTAGCTGACTACTGTATTAGCTGACTACTGTATTAGCTGACTACTGTATTAGCTGACTACTCTATGAGCTGACTACTCTATTAGCTGAATACTCTATTAGCTGACTACTCTATTAGCTGACTACTGTATTAGCTGACTACTGTATTAGCTGACTACTGTATTAGCTGACTACTCTATTAGCTGACTACTCTATGAGCTGACTGCTCTATTAGGTGACTATTCTATTAGCTGACTACTGTATTAGCTGACTACTGTATTAGCTGACTACTGTATTAGCTGACTACTCTATTAGCTGACTACTCTATTAGCTTACTACTCTATTAGCTGACTACTCTATTAGCTGACTACTCTATTAACTGACTACTCTATTAACAAATATCTCTGTATCTAGGACCTGCAGAAGAATGTAAAGAAGAGAGGTCAAATCTCAGAGAAAATGGAGACCCTGGATACTTTACAAGCAGACTTTGATAAACTTAGTCAAACATTAAGGTAATTTAATTATAAACAGTCAACTCTAAAATACAATGAAATATAATTAAATTCTTATTCTTCTTCTTGTCTCTTTTTTTTTATCTAATAAACGTCGAAACGGTTCATCTGATTGGGCCAACATTTTTTTGTGGCAACTCACATGAGGTTTATGAATGCAGAGAATTACAAAAAAATCTCTGAAATCTCTAAGAGAAGAATTATTCCTCATAATTTGGGTTTTATTTGTTATTTATATTTTTAAGTAAAAAGAAATTAAGTCTTTGCCAAAAAATCAAATTAATTTTGTAGACTTCACATATTTCAAACTATGAATTCTGTTAGATCAGATAATCAAAGCTTTAAATATTAAAGATTTACGCAATCTGGTTGCAAAGATACAAGGATTAGATGATTTGAGTTTGTGGCAAAGACTCAATTCCTTTGCAGAATTAACAAAAATGTTAAACCAATAAAAATATGTATATTAGGCGGGAGCTGGAACATTTTGATGAAGTGATGAGAGAAGAATTTGGGGAAACATTTACAGTGTACCATAAACAGTACACAGCAGCACTACAGTACAATTCAAATCCTCGTACAGTACAGGAGAAATAGAGTACCTGTACTTCTATGGACGGTACAATGCTAATGTACAAGATATTTACAATACATGCACTCTGTTTTTCTTAGAAGTTCTGAAAATAAATATAATATTATTATACAGGGTTACCCATGAAATGAATGAGTCTTTAAAGACGACCTAAGAATTCTTTAATATGATGATCCAACGGTTGAATTTGTCTTATTACTAACTAATTAGATTTTAACTGGCATCGTTTATGGTTAGAACTATGAAAATATGAGGAAAAGACAATATTGCAGTTGCAGTGAACCGTGAAAATAAGAAAAATGATAAAATATTCCGTTCAATCGTCTTTGAAATCTCATCCTTTGTGGGTAACCCTGCATACATACAGTAATAACCAGAACACGCAGAATAGGAAGACGACATCGAAGCAATACTGAAGTGCATTTAATGTTGTTATATAGTAAATAGCCTTACTAGTAAGTTCTTAAATCACTTTAAAGTGAAATGGGTCTGTTTACACTGCACAATTGTTGTGACTCATGTTCATTAGACAATTTAAAGTCATATTTTGTGTTTTAAGTTCGACTTTCTATTCCTGAGTTTCTGGTTATAAATGTAATTCCTTTGCTTCCAAAGTTCTAATGCAATACAATATAAAACTCATCTTGACATATTTTAAATACTGATCAAGGTTCATCATGATGTATATAAAATAAATGTAATATTTTCTCTCACAAAGTTTAAATTTCAAATTCAATGTTCAAACTTAAAGGTACTGTAAAGGAATAATGAAAGGGGGTATCGGCTGAAACCTGAGAATCTCAGGAGTTGAATAAAACATATAAGACATCTATCTTATGTTTCTGTCTTGAGAAATTGATATAAAACTGTGTCAAAATTTTACCAAATCGGATATATATCAGATTTTGTATAAGAGTTGTAGTATTAAACAGATCATATTCAGCAAATACGAAACCAATCTGAAAACGATTATATCCCCCAGGAGTCTGAGAATCTCAGATTTGCTCGTGTTATAATTTTTAAATTTGTATTCTGGATTTTTAGTAGATATAATTGAAAATACTATTATGTATATTATGTATCGTTCAACTCCCGAGATTCTCAGGTTTCATCCTATACCCCCTTTCATTATTCCTTTACAAGAAGCGATTTTTTTGTAGGTTTAAACAGGGGGACGAAGGCCCCCTGGATACGTTAATAATATATATTTCCCAGGGGGTATTCAGTATCCAACCTAAACTCAAGGTACTAATGCAAGGAAAGTTATTTCAGAGGTGTACGCATCTTTTGTACTGCAGTGTACTGTCTTTGGGCGGTAATGTAAACACAAGACGGATGTCGAAGCCTGACATGGAATCTATCTTTCACATATAAAATCAATGCAATATTCTGGTCATAGGAAACTATTATTTGAATTATCAAAATTATCAAAATTCATGCTTTTAACCTCCTCGGATTCTAAACGAACACTGATGCATCAATTCTTGTTTACAAATTCCGCCCAGAGAGAACTGGTTTCAATATGTACGCAGAGTATACGCGACTGCAATTAACTTTCCTTGCATTAGTACCTTGCATAAACTGAGCCACCATTCCCCGGTCCTGATAAGTTGAAAAAAGTTTCAGATTCAACTCGACATTGCATTGGCAGAACATGGGTGCATATTTTTAAACAAATTATATTGAAATTATTTTGTGATATATGTGATATCAATTATTGTATTTTTAATTATTAATTATATTTAAATAAAGTATTTACTTTTCTAGGAAGTTAAAATATCACTTTGACGCGATCTTTGGCGATCTTTGACGATCAAGTGACCCTTTCTCCATTAATCCAGGCTTCTAATAAAAGTTGCATCTATTATTGTTTATGCTATGCACTCCGAAGAAAGTGCTGCCAGAGAATTTCCTCTGGAGAGTTTGGACTTAGGACTATCAACCCTCGTGTATCAGGGTATCAGGGTGCACCATGTCCGCGATTGTTCTGCAGATATATATATCCGAAGTCAGTGACAGAAACCCAGCAAATCGCATTTAAACCTTCAGTTTCCTAGATTATCATTATTTGTAATGATAATTACAAGGATCAATTATTACCTAAAATGGCCATCCTAGAGTTTCTCGAGAAAAAATTAATGAAAAAATTACAATTTGAATTTTGATCCTGTTAATTACATTAGTTTTAATTATTTATAGTGTTTATTTTCTAAATCAAGAACTAAAAGAAAATTACATATTAATAATTTAAAATTCCCAAAATGATAAATACAAAAAACTTATTCAAAAGCTGCATAAATTTTCAGTATTACGAAATTTTTTTTTAAGTTTGAGAGCTGGCAAACTGGTCGCATTTAAGGATATGGTGTAGAGACTGGATCAGCTGGCAAACTGGTCGTATTTAAGAACATGGTGTAAAGACTGGATCAGCTGACAAACTGGTCGTATTTAAGAATATGGTGTAAAGACTGGATTGACTTCAGTCGCGAATCCTCGGCTTTTGATTTTACCTAACTTTAACTTTTTGTAGACCTGGACATATACATTTTAAAAGATTTTTCATTTCTTTCAGCTATAGTTAAAGTTATTATGAAATAATTGGCAAAATTGTCATTGTTTTTAGCGTCGGAGCCACAGACTGCTCATATACGAAGGTTGGTTAATAGTTTTCAAAAACTATCGTTTTTCGTCGTATTTGAAAACGATCGTTCATTAAAGAATGTTTCAGGAAAATACATTTATGAATGTTGTCATAATTTTTTTATTAAGAGAAATAACCTGAGTCCGAATTTAATGGATTTGAACCGCGTCTCAAATCTGCCAAAAAACGGTTTCAATTGAGCGCTGGCCTAAATCTTGAAACAGTGATTACAATTTTAAAAGGAATCTTTTCAAAAACTATCGTTTTTAAAAACGATTTTAACATTTTATTCATACTCTAACAATAGCATAATTCATTTATACAATTAAGCAGCATAATACTAATACTATACCAGTGTGCCAGTTAAATATTTTTCAGTGTAGGTTTTTGAGATTTTGAATTAATTGTTCAGATTTCTGAGAATTCTTTGGGTTTTACTTTTTACAATTTTCAAATTTTCCCCTCATTCTTCCAGACTAAAATTAGAAGAAAAGTTTTTTTTAACAATGAAGATACATTTGTGGTTTCAAATACAAGTATACAAACCATAAAGCCGATTTAAGTGCATATTGCATAATAGCTTTAAAGCCAAAATAATTGAATTTTTGTGACATTTCAGAAAAAAATGTAACCGTGATTAGAAATATTTTTTTAACCCTTCTTTTTAAAATTTATTAAAATTTTGCTTTCGTCAATTGTAATTTTTATATAATACAACATTTTTAGTTTAAAAGGACAGATCGGCTATGTAAACGTAGTTAAACTGAGTATGCAGTATTGTGGACAAATTCTTTCGGATTCATTTGAGACATATTAAACGTTTCCACGATGTATAAGTTTTGAGTTTGAGTGCATAGTCAACGTTTAAAATCATGAATTTGGATGGGTACGTTTTCAGAATCGATTTTTTAAATTATAAAATAGCGACGACGAAAAATAAAGTAAAAAAATTATGTAGTAAACTAATTAGATGGTTAGGATCATATATTTCTCAAAAGAAATTTGTCAATAAATTAATGTTAGAATCAATTATTTCGTTTTCATAATTGTATTGAATTTCTTATATTAACTTTGAATTTGATCTTCAAATATCGTCTTTTCAATAAAAATTCCGGAAAATCTTCAGAACATATTTGTGAATAATCAGAGATTATAGAAACGAATAATTCAAGAAGATTACTTATTTTCGTGATAAGATTAATTTTTATTTTTTTAACCTGTTCAACCTGTTAACATTTTTTGTCGTCGTTAATTAATAATTATAACAAAAACAATTCTTATAACGTATCCACACAGAAGTATGATTTTGAACGTCGGCTTTGCGCTCAAACTCAGGATCTATAGATCTTTAAACAGTTTTATATGTCTCAAATGAATCCGAAAGAATTTGTCCACAATACTGCATACTCAGTTCAACTACCTTACATAGCCGATCTGTCCTTTTAAAAGTCAATAAAAGTGAGTGTTTTGTGCACTTTGATCAAGTAAGAACGAAAATGTAAAATTTCTGTTATATTTCCATTTCGTGGCTTTCCATATAAATTAAACAATGAACATGCAACAATTTTAAACCTTAATATTCAAGTTTAATATATTATAAGTAATCTAGAATATACATTAAATATTAATAGTTTGACTAAATTTTCAAGTAATAGGGACTGTTGGTGTGATTTAAAGAGCGCCTTCATTTTTAAAAGGGTAACGGTACCTTAAAAATGGTCGAGTTATACTTGCTTTCCTAAAATTGAATATTTTTTTATATATAAAGGTGATTTAAGGATCTATACAGCAGGGACAAATAAATAAATTCACAGAATTCAACACATTGTAGTATTTAAAAAAGTAATGGGTAAAGTTGTGAAACGGGCTTAACACTTTTTTTTGCGGATAGCTTGAAATCGCGTTGAGTCAGTGAAATCTACAGAGGCGTAGTCAGGGGGGGGGCTATGGGGCTAAGCCCCCTTCCCTGGACCAGCGAAATCTTGTAAGAAAAAAAATTAACCGCCTCGTAATAAATTCCTGACAACGTCCCTGAATCTAGACAAAATTTTTTAAAAAATCGCGCGCCTTCTGTCAGTGTCAGATTACATGGCTCATCAGCTTTTTGGTTCTACCTTCTAATTCTTTGTTTAAAGAGATTTTTTGTCCTCAGGACGTACATGATCGGGTTGTTCCAATATATTGCGAAAGTTTGTTGTTGTCTGGGTTTATATTGATCTACCTGGGGTTGTAATCTGGCCGCACATTAATCCATCCACGCTTCATTCATACTGAGAAGAGGGTTGACTTAAGATTCCAGCTGCCTAAGGGCTTCTTAAGCCTGAGAATAATTGAGTGCAGGATTTCTTCTGATATACTGGAATGAGACCCGGGTGTCATACTGATAGGAAACATCACCCTCATTGCTCCCTATCGTTTGTAAGCCCGGATTGGATACCCCCAGGTACCTATAGCTGCCAACCATAGACTCTCCCTGCTTGTCCACCATTTCTCTCTTCATCAGCATTCACTTGGATCAATTCATATAAAGCTTCTTTCTTGTTGAGTAGAAAGCACGCACTCTTTCGCTGCGAGAGTTGTTGGCCTTCTACACCCGTCAGGTGGCCATAACTGCTTAACCAGATGTTTTAGAAACCACAGATTTGTGCGGGAGTACGGGAATCGAACCCGTGAACACCAGTCTGGACACCAATCCAGTTACTGGCTGTGGACAAGTGTGCTTAACTTCAGTGATCTAACGAGAACTGGTATCACACGCTCTCCACGCCACCCCAAGAAATTCAGTAAGATGAAGTATTAAACTAATTCAATTTAGACGATGACAGCTATAAAACAAAATTGTGCTTTTTAGCAACAAAAAAAACACAGAAACTTGGCTAAGATTATTTGTCAAATAAGTATATTAGGATAAAATTAGAATAGAAATATTAGAAGTATATTAGGATAAAATTAGAATAGATATATTAGAAGTAGATTAGGATAAAATTAGAATAAATATATTAAAGTATATTAGGATAAGATTAGAATGAATATATTAAAGTATATTAGGATAAAATTAGAATAAATATATTAAAAGAATATTTGGATGAAATTAGAATAGATATATTAGAAGTATATTAGGATAAAATTAGAATGTATCAAAAGTATATCAGGATAAAATTAAAATAAATATATTAGAAGTATATTAGGATATAATTAGAATGTATATATCAAAAGTATTTTAGGATAAAATTAGAATAGATATATTAGAAGTATATTAGGATAAAATTAGAATAAATATATGAGAAGAATATTTGGATGAAATTAGAATAGATTTATGAGAAGTATATTAGGTTAAAATTAGAATAAATATATTAGAAGTATATTAGAAAAAAAATTAGAATAGATATTAGAAATATATTAGGCTAAAATTAGAATAGATATATTAGAATAGATGTATATTAGGATAAAATTAGAATAGATATATTAGAAGTATATTATGATAAAATTAGATATATTAGAAGTATATTATGATAAAATTAGATATATTAGAAGTATATTATGATAAAATTAGATATATTAGAAGTATATTATGATAAAAATAGATATATTAGAAGTATATTATGATAAAATTAGATATATTAGAAGTATATTATGATAAAAATAGATATATCAGAACTTCAGAAGTATATTAGGATAAAATTAGATATGTTAGAAGTTTATAAGGATAAAATTAGAATGAATATATTAGAATAAATCTACAATATATTTAGAACTTGGATAAGGTTGGAAAGGATGTATAATTAGCGAATTCTCCGAAATTTTTAAAGTATTAGCATAATCTGGCCTATAGCCATCCAGACTTCATGCCAAACAAAAAACAGCGAAATCTAAAATAAAAAACATTATATTTTGGCATTTTAAGTAAATTTAAAAAATAATAATCACTGACACAACATCAGTTAGCTCAGTTTCCATACACAATAATTACTATTGCCTAATATTAATTATGACTGCAGCTGGCAGTTTTATTTATTAAAAGAAGCTTATTTAGAAGCCACAAATATTTATTATTTTTAATCATACTTTTAAATAATTTAAATTTTTTCACAAACGAGTTTTTTTTTAACAAAATTGCTTTCATTCGTTCATTTTATGATTGTCATTTTACAGTCTAAGCATGCAAGCAAGAAATATATCAAAATCTTGATAATTGATTCATTGTTTTCTACAATTTATATATATATATACATAATACAATTTTCTACTTCTACTTCTTGTATTTTTTCTTTTACTTCCTGTAGATGTTTTCTATTCTGTAGAACCCTAGAAAAGATAAACTAAAATTATCTAGCAAAAGGTATTTTGTCCCTTGAAAATCATGATTATACATTTTTTTTTAATTTCGGGCTAGACATGGCCTGCATGTTGTAGCTTATAAATACTACTATTTTAAAAGGACTGTAAGCGTAATTTCAAGTGACCCTCCATGCAAAGATGACAATGCCCGATTTACAACGTACCATTAAAAGCTTTTCATGAGCTAGAAATTTATTTTTAAGTCACATATATATAGTTACAGTCTGTAAGTCGTCTTCCTATTCCAGAGTTTGTTGGTTATCACTGTACTTTAAACTGTTTGTTTCATTTGCGGGTTCTGTGCAAAATTGACTGGAACATTTCATGTTTATCAGAAGCAATGGAGAAACTTTTAGAATTAAACACTTTACAAGTCAGTAAAACAACGATATATTCCACAATTTTGATAAGATTAAGGTTTCAAGGGTACAGTTTTAATTTGCCATGAGGGTCACTTGAAATTACGCGAAGAGTCCCTTTAAGGTCGACCTGCGGGCTTTAGTTTAAAATTGGCGGATTCAAAAATAAAAATATAAGTGATGACACCATCTTGTTAAAAGGGATTGTTAACCTAATTTTTAAATAGGGGACCCGTCCCTTTAAATATGATAATTTAGTTAATTCCTTGATGGTAGTATAGATGGTTAAAAGAATTATAAAGAGGAGTAAACCGTAGAACATACACAAGATAGGAGTCCCACAATCCTGCGGGTTTTCTTGCGCACCTGAAAAAGAATAAATTTAAATATGTTTCTCACTTTTGATTTTAATTTCCTAGCAATATTATTTACTTGGGAATCCCAGTTTTGCATTTTAACAACCCAACCAACATAAAATATAGAAACATTCCCGTGGTTCTATATATGAGGAAAATCGGTCAAGGGTTCCTAGGTTATGATCGGACATACAAACAAACACCATGAAATTACTTCTTAACAGATATTTCGAAATATTATATCTAAGCTTTAACTTCAGTTTGATAAATTGTAACCCATACAATTATTTTTCTTCATAAATTTCAAAACCCAAAAATAATGCAAATTTTCCAGTTTTCATTATCAAAGAAACTGAGGTTTCGACACAAAATCAATTTTTCTACAGCTGTACTTAGAGTGTACAAATACTACGTTGCCATCTATTGTACTTAACATTCTATTTGATATATTGTACTTCACAATCTATTTGATATATTGTACTTAACAATCTATTTGATATATTGTACTTAACAATCTATTTGATATATTGTACTTAACAATCTATTTGATATCTTGTACTTAACAATCTATTTGGTATATTGTACTTGCTCCGGAAATTGTTTGTCTTCCAAAAAACCAAATTATCATTCTAAACAGAGAACATGGTTTTCTTCTAGAAAATAGATATGGGCATAGTTTTCTTAAAGAACGAAATTTTTCTTGAAAAAAGACGTCATTGTGAAGAAAAACCAACGATGGACAAACGAAATGGATCGTTCAAATAAATGAAAATGAACGAAACATTTAATGGAACAAACGATTTTACTGAACAAACGTTTTACTGAACGATCGTTCAGTGAGAAAATGAATGAAATAGATGGAAAATTAACAATATTTTTGAGACGAACGAAATCAATTTTTTTGAAGGATTGCAAAAAAAACTAACGAAATAGGTCGTTCACGAACAAAATGAAAAAAAAGTGGAACGTGCCCATCTCTTCCAGTAGATAATATGCTGAAGAAACAATTCAAGCTTTTATCCCGAGCATAAAGAATACTGTGAATAATAATTGTTAATAAAATGTAACTATTTGATTGACGAACGAATGTGAATAATAATTGTTAATAAAATGTAACTATTTGATTGACGAACAAATGTGAATAAAATGTAACTATTTGATTACAACTAATTAAATGTTTATTGAAACTGATAAATAGGAATTTTAAAGGAAAGGTTCTGTTGTGAATCGACCAAGAAATATTTTAAGGTACTGATGGGAATTAATAAATGAAATATTTTAAATGGGTACTATTGTGAATCAAACATGAACTTACGATCTATTGTCGTATAGTACGGGAATAGTGGTTGGAATCGGAGTCTAAACTATTCAATTTCTGAAAAAAAATATTCATTTGGTAAAAAATTAATTCACTATTAGTTTGCAAAATGATTCACTGAATTTTAAGCGTAAATTGTTTCTATTTTTTTTACGAATTTAAATCTTATTGTTGCACGAGGATTTTGTTTACGTTTATGCAGAAACCTTGAACAGTATTTGGTTTGGAGAAGAAAGTGGACGGAGGTCTGACGGAGATGTAGTTTGTCAAAGACGACTTTTACAACAGGGTAGTTTATGGGATATGGTTCACAATATTGTGTGTAAGTGTGCAGTGTAAAGGAATGCGGCAAACCTAATGTTAGAACCAAGAACAAACTAAGAATAAGAATTATAAAGAATATCTTCTCAACCTGATCCAACATCTCTGTAATAATATATTGTAAACTATGTAAACTTTATGTTTATCTAAATATTCTAATTTTAAACCACCACAAAATAATACTCCATATAAATAAGGTTTCAACTAAAGGGTGAAACTATGGGGGACATGATGCCCATATTAGCATGTTTAAATAAAATTTGAAAATTGATCTTCCATTGTGATCCATGTTTTTTTTAAATAGTTAAATACTGAATAAGTTTTGAAATAGTTTTACCCTTATTTCAAGATTGAAAAACGTCTAATTAAAACAAATTCTAGCTTATTCCTTTCTTTTGTCAAACTCCTTCATTATCTTTGTCAAGTCAATTTTGTAGAAAACCACAATCAAACATGATCGATTTTAAATATAAATGGATATCAATAACATTTTTTCTCAGGCATGGGTTAAATGGTACCTCTGTTAAAAAAAGAAATAGTTCAATTTTAAGAATTTGAGAATTCAGAGTTTGTTGCAAAGACTCAATTCCTTTATTTTTAATCGAAAAAAAATATTTTAGTTCATGGTTGAAGCTGAAACATCTGCAAAATTTTTATATTTTCTGATGAACATGTCTAAACCAGAGACAAGAGAGTAACAGAGATCAATTGAAACATAAAACATGCAATACTTTCCACTGCAGGTTCTATTGTGTACAAGTACTGTACACAACCAATTAGCAGACATCTGTATTCAGGGATATTTATTATTTAAGGATCCTTAGTATACAAAATTTCAAAAACAGACTAAATTCATAAATTTTATGTTTCATGTTAAAAATTAGAGTATTTATTTTAAGTTGAAAAACTTAACCCCTGAATGGGTATTATATGCAACAAGTGGCCGTTAGATGGCAGTCATAAAAACCTTTCGTGCATAGCCTATCCAGGTAGAGCATATGAGCAGTCTATCCCCCCTCCTATTAATTTTGTACATGACCATTAATTTTAAGTTATTTTGTATTATTTAAGGTTAGGTTAAGACAATCACTCGGCCGAGGCGTCGCGGCAAGGAAGGCTAGGGATCCACATTGTCAATCATATCCATGTCTTACATCCATCCATGTATAAAATTGATAGTGTTGGGGGGGGTCCAAAATCGTATACTAGGAAATTACCGGGATATGCGTTTTAAACTAAAAAGTATTCCAAGATGGCTCCGTAAGTTCAACCACGTGATTGAATTTAAATAGAAGAAACTGAATTCATCTCACCCTGGTTAGTCCGAGGTTTCATGTATTGTACAGTATTACCCAAAAAACATGAGACTTTGATGACAACCTGAACTCCTTAAACAGGATGATCCGAAGTCTGAAATTAATTTGTGCCTTGAAAATAGTTTTTAAGGGTTGCAAAGGTATTAGGATTATAAATTTTAGGTTAGACTAAGAATAAGACTAATATTCTGCTTCACGAAAAAATTCCGGACAGTCGACAGTTTCATCCTCTATGGGTAACCCTGTACATTTATAATATGTTGAATGTAGGAAGTGTAGGTCAATTAAATGAAACTTTTAGAAAGACAGATATTTTGTACTGTATACAATTACAGCAGAAGGTACAAATAGCTTTATAATAGAACAATATTATAATCTATATGTTCATATTGAATTAGATAGATATGGATATATTTCTCTTGAAGCTAGAAAGAAAGATATATGTATTGTTCTATATATTTCTCTTAAAGCTAGCTAGAAAGATATATGTATTGTTCTATATATTTCTCTTGAAGCTAGCTAGAAAGAAAGATATATGTATTGTTCTATATATTTCTCTTGAAGCTAGCTAGAAAGAAAGATATATTTATTGTTCTATATATTTCTCTTGAAGCTAGATAGAAAGATAGACGGATATGTTGATGTTGATGGATAGTTGTGAGGATATAAAGATAAATAACATATTATTATCTGAGCCGAATAATAATAATAATAACAGCTGCTTTTACATTAAAGAAAACGGCTTGAGAACAACAAGGGGAGGGGGGTATTTAAAGTAAACTGCATATCAAACGCTTGAACTATAACCATTATATATTTATATATAAATTATATAATTATAACCGTACTAGTAATGTCGAATAAATTTGACCTTCTTTTTTTATCTAGTTCAGTATGGGAGGGGGGAGGGGGTGCGACATATATTTCAGATCTTGATTGTCAAAAATTCTCGTCGATTTTAGCGTCAGAGCTAAAATCCGGACGACAAATGACGAGACACAAGGAATCAAATTTAGGATATATAGGATTGTAACTTCTTCAAAATATAATTTTCCCTCTATAATATACGACGTAAACTGTACAGATCCTGACTATATAATATATATTCATAACAATTATACTATTTTTACATGGATATAAGTTTAATTCTTTTCTTCTTTTCAATCAAATGAAAACTTATATCTTCAGTCGTGTATTTGTAAAATTTTGAATTTTAAGTTTTTTTTATTCAGTTATTCAATTTTTCATGTTTAGATGAATATGGGGTCGTCGTATCTTTTTGCCGAAAAAAGTTAACCCAATTATTGTTCAAATTTCAAAATATTTTGTAAGTATATTGTAAGTTTTGCATTAAAGCCACAAAGTTATAGATTTACACAAAGTTATAAAACTTTCTATTAAAAAAGATCAATAATGATTAAAAATTAATATGATTCCTGTGTGTGGGTTACATTGTCTCTGCTTATTTAAAAAGTAGGGCAAAAAAAATCACGTTAAAAATATTCAAAAAAAATGGTTTTATTTTTGCCATTTCTTCGATAACGGAATCGAGTTTTATAATTCTTATATTTTTGCAACCTGATGGCGTATACCTTTCGTATGTTAAGCTTACTTTATTTGATCTACAGTGTGTCCCACGAAACATGACAGTTGGTAAATAGTTTAGAATGTCTTTTTCCAAAATTTATTTTGTTGTTTAATACCAAAGACAAAAATAAAAATATTATATTGGAGTCATATTATAGTAAAATTAACTTCAAACTTCAAAGTAAAATATATTTAAGCAAAAGATTTTTTAAACAAAATAAACTGCAAACAACATTTAATATCTAATACAGTGCATTGGAAGACGACATTCAAAACTATTTACCAACTGTCATGTTTCGTGGGACACCATGTATCTAACAGAACGCATAGTTTGAAATATACACTGTTGTATATGTGCCCTTTAATCGGCCCTTGTTACTTTTTGTAGCTCTGAACATAAAAAGTCTTCACGCTTTAACTTTATCTTTAAAGGAGTAATGTACACTCCACCGAAACGGAAGTAGATAGAAATGTGAGACATTACATGGTACATTCTTTGTGAGTAACCTTGTCTATATGAGCGATCAGTAACTCAATGCCAGCTTAGCAGAAACATATGAAATAAACGCTTCTCACTTTCTTTTATATGACGATTGGAAGTAAGCTCTACTTCATTTCACAAAACAATTGGAAGTAAACGCTACTTCCTTTCGTTCATGAGACGATTGAAAGTAAACGCCTACTTCCTTTCATGAGACCATTGAAAGTAAACGCTACTTCATTTCATGAGACAATTGGAAGTAAACGCAACTTCATTTCATGAGACAACTGGAAGTAAACACTACTTCCGGTCATGAGATAATTGTAAGTGAACGCTACTTACTTCCGGTCATGAGACAATTGGAAACAAACGCTACTTCATTTCATGAGACAATTGGAAATAAACGTCTACTTCCATTCATGAGACCTTTGGAAGTAAACGCTACTTCATTTAATGAGACAATTGGAAGTGAACGCTACTTACTTCCGTTCATGAGACCATTGGAAGTAAACGCTACTTCCTTTCTTGAGACCATTGGAAGTAAACGCTACTTCCTTTCATGAGACCATTGGAAGTAAACGCTACTTCCTGCCATGAAAGAAAGGAAGTAGACACTACTTCCTGCCATGAAACGCCTGTAGAGTCGTATGTTTATTGAATAACCATGATATATGTTTCTTCAATACAGAGAATCTACACTATACAGCTGGACTTAAAACTGCGAAAAAAAAAGTTTTAGTCTTAGTGGCAATTCTATTTGCTTTTAACTTATACCCAATAACTAAAGATGTTGTTTTCGTGTTCTACACTGTTTATGTCCTAAGTTAGTTTTAAAAAATTACCCATAGCACAGTAGTTACAAATCCATTCTCCTATAGGTTTAATGATTTCAGCTCTAGTAGGTTGGAGACAAAACATAAACACAATCCAACCGGATATACCGGTGTCTCGTATCCGTCCTTTACTCCGTGTTCCGGGATACACAACCTGTCCCTCCTGATCAGGCACTTGGTGGCGCAGGACGGATTTATGGTTTATCCGCTTTTTCTCCGACATGGTTTCAATCACGGAGATTAGTTGATTCTCGTATAACGGCTCTGAGCCGGTTATTAGGTTTGATAGATTGGACATTCTTGGTCGTAGTTTACTAAATAGGACTTAGGAGGGATAGGTTCTATATATATGAGCATATAATCATGTATTCTTGGTCTATATAAACTGAGGTGTTTGGTTAGCTTGGATTAAGTCTAGATGAGTATGAGTTCATGTTGTTGAATGAAGATAGAGTAGGTTGGATCCAAAAAGCTCTGTAACTCACGGTCCGAGGTTTACTTTAATACTGGAGCCTCTGGTCCACACACTACTGTCAAACTCGTTGGAACCCTCTGAACCAGATTTCAGGACTTTAAACTCACTCTTCTCAATGAAGAAGCCTAAAGGCTAATAAGTTCTTGATTTTTCTTAAATTGGAACAAGGATTGCCATGGTTTTCTTTGATAAATAGTTGCCTTGTATATGAGAGCGGGTTGGGGGAATAATCGGTGATTTCTCCGTTACTCATCTCCCGTCCCCTCCCCTATACACTGTAATACAGTGTTCTCCGCTTAAACCTCCGTATTATTATACTCTAGAACAGAAGGTCTATCATACCAAGGAGGTATAGAACTAAGGAGAGGATCTATCATACCAAGGAGGTAAAGAGCTAAGGAGAGGATCTATCATACCAAGATGGTTTAGAACTAAGGAGGGGGATAAAGTTTGTTTTTATTTCGTGGTACCATACGGTGTTATCAGAATAAGATTTTAATGGAAACCTAAAAATCTTTAAATATTGGGCTAAAGTTTAAATTTGGTCTTCTGCCTGGAATAATGAATTGTAAACTTTTTGATGTTGCCAAAAAAAAGGATGTATTTGAAAATTAGGAAATAACATTTTCAGAATAGAACTAAGAGCTATCACACATATAAAGGAACAAAAAGCTTTAAAATATAGATTACAATTGTACTCCTACTTTTTTGCACAACAGAAACTTTTCAAGTCAAAATTATTTTCTAGACTTTTGTCCTTTTTTCATCTCATAGAATTGAAGTTTAATTGTTGAGTTTTTCATTTTCAAAAATGTGTTTTACTATCTCAAGTTTAAACACTAACATAACAATATAATAAAATGTCGATTTTTTAAAAACATGTTTTTTTTCTGCTAATTTTGTTTGAGGAGAGATAAAGTCGTAATTGCAAGGTAATTGGACTGTATGTGTACCTTTAAAGGGACAGACCGGCTATGTAAAGTGTTGTACTGAGTATGCAGTGTTATGGAAAAATTTTTTAGGATTCATTTAAGACATCACTACATACTCAGTTTAACTAACTTACATAGCCGGTCTGTCCCTTTACAGTATCATATAATTATGCCTGATATCCAAGACGCCAAATGTTTTGAATTTACAATTAGAATTTTGCCCCCCCCCCCCCAAGAACTACAAGGAGGGGGATAAATTTGCACGCCCCTCATACGATGATAACCAGAAAACTCTGAAATAGGAAGATGATTTTATAGCAAAAATTATAGCAAATAGTTTTACTTGACACAATAACAAATAAAGTGTAATGGGTCTGTTTGCACTGCACAAATGCTGTATCCCATGCAAATTGGACTATTTAAAATAAAAAATTAATTCTTAACAGTCGTCTTCCTATTCCAGAGATTTCTGGTTATTATTCATTTCCGTCAATTTTTAATAAATTCACGTTAGTTATAGGTAACAGGGCACACACTTTGTAATCAATTGATTGATCTTAATGTTTTATTGGTTCACAATCTGTATTTTAATTGATCTATGATTTAAAAATATTCAACAAACTGCAGGTTTAAATATTGTAAAAAATATTTAACCATCACAAACTAAGTAATGAAATGTCGTCTTACACAGGATGAAAATATACAAAATGCTAGAATTAAAAGAAAAAACATGAACTGAAAGACATACAGGGTGTCCAACGAAATATGAAGGTAGAAAGACGATTTGAGAGTCGTTTTGATCTTCGGATTTATTTGAGAAATTCAGTGGTCAAACTTTTTTCACATGTATAATTATTGAAATAATAACAATATTCTCCATAGTAGTACTGGGAAAACCAAAGTGTGGTTTGCCTTTTTATACTGTCAATATTAAGGGAGATGTTGAGGTAACTTAAAACTACACCAACATTTTCCTTTACATGGATTTTCTGTTTTAAAAATAATAAATTTTGTCTCGAGAAACAGATAAACTAGTGTCTTTACTTTGTCTAAATTTGTTGATGTGCTCAAACTAAATTTTTAAATCATCTATATAATAAAACAAAACATTCGTAGATATATATGTTGCCCATATCAGCTGGACCGATTGGGCTGAATTTTAATGTAGACACTCAGGGGTGGCCATGGGAAGTGTTATAGGCTATAAAAAGTCGAAATTTTTAATAAAATTTTTTAACACTTTTTTTCACGGGCAACGCCAGGCCTTTCAGCTAGTTATCAAATATCAATGAAGGAATCAGAAAATATTATCAACGCACAGAAAATGGGACTATACAGTGAGTATTAAAAAACTGTGGAATATTTAAGCAATCTTATGTGCATTTGAAATGGTTAGGTTCTACTTTCGTAGCTGGCCTTAGAAGAGGCCTTCATTATCAGCCTATTGATGTGGTTCTGAAGCAGAATCCAACAGTCGTCCTCTTATTCCACAGTTTTAAGGGTCATTCTGTACATAGAAAATGGAAACGAATGTATAAATTATGATCCGGTTAAAATACATTAAAGCTATTCCATTTCAAAACCATAAGTCTAGTTATACATAACCTTTGATCCAAACTATTTAGACTATTTACAAACCCACAAAAATTTATAATAAACAAAGATTTAGTCTTCCGAAACCTTATCTTGAGAAAAGTATGAACATAGCTGAAAACTTTAGAATGGGATATCCTTAATCCCGATCGGTCTTTTAATATGGAGATTAATAACAAGAGGAGAACAAGCATTATTTAATCTCGAGATTAAGAAAGATCAAGCCTTAATCCCGATATCCACCATTCAAAAGTTCCCAGCTCACTATTTCTAAATTCTGTGTTTTCCAAAATGTAATACAAACTTGTGAATTATCGTCTTTGCTCTATCTTTTAATTTTATAATTTTTTAAAGATTTTGTATCTGGAAAATATTACAACTGATATATTTCTGAAAATATTTAAGACATAAAATTGGAAGATTTTGAAAAGAAGATTATTTTCCAATTCTTTCTCTCATCCCTTTTTCTTATTATTAAATTAAAATCATCAAATTCATTTTTCTGTATCACATAAATAATTAAGATTTATAAACCTCATTCTAATTAATTGCTCCATTATATAAGAGTCCAATCCTATAAATAAAAAAAAAACACTTTTTGCTAAAAAATAATAACCTTAACATTAATTTTAATTATAAATTAAAACTCTTTCACAATATTTAAAAAAAATGTATTTTAATGTTTCTGTTTTTAAGAAAAAGGGGTAAATATTTGTGACCAAATTAAAGACAACGCAAATATTGAATTGAAAAAAAATTAAATAAAAAATTAGATATTTTTCCGTTTTTAACCATTTATTGCTTACTCAGTAACGTTTCCAGACTGCTGAATCTGAACTGCTGATTCTTCCGGGTCAAATATTTCACATCTTTCAGTCCACAGAAGAATTAATAGGGGGAGGGGGGGGGGGGGTATCACTTTCTTTAATGACCCAAAAAAAGGTCAAACTCATCAACACTTCTTAACTCCTTTCCATTTTTTTCTGGAAAAAGGACCTTTTCATACTTTATTCCTATTTCATTATTAAAAAACCGAGGATATAACAAAATAAAAAAGTTTATTTACAGTTTACACAATAGTGAAGAAGACAGACGGTTTCTTATCAGAATGAAGGGTTGAGACCAATCTAGCGTCTCAGGTGGGGGAATTTACATCTATCCCCATCTCTACAGAATCCCTTCTCAGTCCAGAACTTACAAGGTCGTCTTTCCCGTCCATAATCCTTCCTTCGATCATCTCTATGCCCACCTCGGTCTGAGAAATTATCCCTGCCCCTATAAAATCCACCACGACCTCTCTCAAACCCTTTGTTATTGTTTCCTCTGAAGTTTCCTGGATTTTTGGGACCATGATTCCAGTTGTTCGGAGGACCTGGATACGGAGGGAAAGGCGGAGGTTTCCCACCGGTCATAGGACCGGGAGGAAAAACTCCTCCATAATCCCCGTCCACTGGCTCATAGGGTTCCTCTCCAGGTTCGTAGGGTTCCTCTCCAGGCTCATAGGGTTGCTGACCGTTAGGGTTGAATCCGAACTGATTATTAGGGTTGGGAGGAAGCAAACCTTGTTTTCTTAACTCATCTTCAGCAGCTTTCTGGGCAGCCAACATGGCCGATTCAATTCGTGGATTTCCATTTTCAAATGAAACCCCGCCCATCATAGATTGCAAATTCTGATGAATATTTGCAAAAATGGCGTCGGTTTGGGGCGAAGCCGATGTTTGAGGGGATCTCCGTGGGAGCATATCAGGTAAGGGCTGGGGCCAAGGGAACCCGGAGTAGTCCGCATAGGTTTCCTCTCCACTCTCATCATCTAGAGGAATCATCTTAGTTTCAAACCTGACATTGGCAGAGTTTTCAGGTTCCGTCGGATCGTTGGGTAGTTTATTACTGAAGGAGAGTGCTTGAAGAGTAGAATTTTCTCTCTGCTCTTGAGTAATCTTCTCTACACTCTGTCCCCCGTATTCCACCTCAGGAGGGTTAAAATCACAAGGTATAAGATTCTGCCAAGGACGAGATTCCTCCTCTGCTACAATCTTTTTCTGGATAAGAGACGACTTCTCATACTCGTTCTCCTTCTTTCTCATCTCTTCAAACTTGAGTTTATTAACGTTGACCCTCTCAGTTTCGTCGAGTTCAAAGTATTCAACCTGAACTAGTTCCGTCTCTGACCTCCAGACTATTCGTCTCTGCTGTCTCACTGACCCGCGCGCTAGGACGAGAATGCCGCGAACTTCTCGTGGAGTATCATCCTGAGGTTCCTCAAATGGAAGATCCAGGTCTCTTTTAGGACTTGAATTTTCTGGTTTTGGACTAGTTCCTGGTGGATTAATTTCAAGATTTGAATCTGTATCTGGACCTACTGCTGGAGTTTCATCAAGCAATATATCTCGGTAAAAACTAAGTGCTGGAGCAGGCGGTTCTGTTTCCATGGATTCAATTCGGTTCAATTCCTTCTCCTTCTCTCTTTCCTCTTCTTCAAGGGTTTTTGCTTTCAGTTCAGCAATCTTAATTTTCTTTTTCTTCGGCTGATCATCTTTCATAATCGTGCTCAGGAAATCACCAAAAATTGGACTTTCTTTCAACTGAGAGGGAGATTTGATTTTGATTTTTGGAACATCAGATTCAACTGGACGCTTCTCGGCCTTTTTCTCTTCAGGTTTTAGGAAGTCAGAGGCGGGAACAATTTTAGAACTTTTATCCTCAGTCCTCATTGGTCTTTGTATATCTTTAGAAACCTCCTTGACAGGTTTAAATTCAGGTCTGGTTTTGCTTGAAGTTGAAGTGCTAAACGATGCTAGAAGATCCTTGTTCTTATTCTTAGTAGGAGGAGCTTTTATAGATTTTGATTTACTAGAATCCATCGCGCCCATTAATGCCTCGAAGGAAAGTCCAGATTTGGCGGACTCCTTCTTCTCCTCTTCTTTTTTTGGTAGCTTTGGGATCTTACCCATGCTTGACAATGAACTGGACTTTAAGCCCACGTCATTCTTTTTGGAAAGAGACTCATCCTTTAACCTCTGAGCTACCAATTTAATTTTTTCTCTTTCCTTAGAATCTAAACCATTTCTCATCTCTGTTTCTTTAAAAGGTTTTGATTCTCTCTTTTTTTCTTTGCGTTCTTTCTCTTTTTGTCTTTCCCTTTCCTTTTCTTTCCGTCTACGCTCTTCTCTTTCTCGTCGTCTTCTTTCTTCTTCTTTACTCCCGTATTTGCTTCTTTCTCTATCCTTGTCCTTTTCCCTGTCTTTGTCTCTATTTTTATCTTTCTTATTTTCTTTATCTTTCTGCTTTGTCTGTTCCTTAATTTTAGTTTTTTCCTCCTCTTTTTCTTTCTCTAGGTTGTCTGCCAATTCATCTGCTATTCCTTGCAAGATCTTCAGAGGCTTTGCTTCTTCTTCGTCATCATCACCATTGAGAAGATCTTCAACATCCATCAACTCATCCTTCACGATACCATTCATTCCACCAGTGCTCATCTCAGATACCTCATTCTTCAGTGGACTGTTTGGACCTTTCTTATCTTCTATTTTCTTAATCTCAGAAGGAACAGGACGTCCGTACTTTCTGTTTAGGGCGTTATCAGCACGCTTCATGATCTCAGCAATATCATCATCATCATCATCTTCATCATCTTCATCATCCTCTACATCCATCTGCTCGAGCGATGAATGAACACCCTGACCTGTGGACGTTATCTTCAGCTTTGGGATTTTAGGTTTGGATCCTTTAAACACTCGGGATTGTAATCTTAAAGTTTTACCGCCTTTTCCCACCCAGAAATGAGTCTCAACCTGGGGACACTGGATGCAATTCATGTTGGGTAGGTTCATAATCTCTTCAGTTTCAGTGAAAACTGTAACAGGAACACGTGGAACTGTTGGATCTACGGGGGAAGGGGCCTGCCCCCTCTGTCCTCTTGCCCTAGTTCGTAAAGGGGCGCTCGGCACCGCTACAGGAGGGTCAGGGGTTTGTATAACAGTCATCCACTTACCCAATACCTACAGAAATACAAATTTTTGATTAGAAACTAATTAATTTTGTTTGTGTAAAAAATTTATATTTTGTTATAAAAAATTAGCGTGGAAGACAAATACCTTAGTGGAGAGATCTCTCACAATGTTATCAACTCGAGAGTCACATGTCAACTGTCGAACCAGTTTTGGAGCAATATTCTTTTCTGAATTCTCTCGTAACCTAAAAAAAGTTTTTGCATAAACAAAAACGTTTTTAAAGAAACAACATGAAAAAAAATAAAACATTGGCGTATTTTTCTATTTTAATGTTCGCGGATTTCAACGAAATTAAAGTTTAAATAATTAAAATTATCCAAAATTACCTTGTTGCTGTCATGGGACAAATCTCAAATAATTCAATTAGCTCTTTACAAAGAGGCCAATTGTTACTGCGAATTCCGTCAGAAAACCTAAAAAAATCTTATTTTGAAACAAAAGAATATATTTACTCTTATCCAAATACTTAAAACAAAAAAGTATCGAGAAAACACAAAAAAAAAATAAAAAAATGTTTAAAATCTTTCAGTATTAAACCAAAGGAATTCATTATTGTAAGAGAAAGCTTAATTTTTTTCTGAATTATATTTAAAATAATCTTGAAAACATGTCAAAAAAACTAATTTTCAAGAAATTGGAGAGGTTATGGGGGGGGGGGGAATTTCGATTCCGTCTTTTACGGTTAAGGTGAATCAGTAAAAAATGAAAAAATAAAAAATAAAAATGATAAAATCAATGCTCACCAAAAGTTGAGAAGATCCCATCCTCTCTCAGACAAGAACTTGTCAAGGATATGTGGCTGGGTGCTTTTCAAGATCTTGATGTAGACGACCTTGGAGACCAACTTCTTCGAGAACTTCTCCATTAACTGAACTAATCTGCTAACCTAAATGATGAAATAAAATTAGCATATTACGTCGAATTATTAGTTTACAAAACAAATGAAAGGTGGTTAGGTAATAAATCAAGTGGTACCATTTTTATTTTTATCGGATGGTGTACTTAAGTACACTCTTTGCAGAAAAAAACCATACTTCTTTTAGTTTATTTTAAGAACCCATCAATTTTTCATTCAAACTCTTTTCTTTTTCACTACAGAAATGTCAAAAAATATGATCAAAACAAATATGAAGGAGGAATGTGGGTCATAAATATTCTAGAAAAAATACTAAATATTCTAGGATAAATACTAAATATTCTTGGATAAATACTAAATATTCTAGGATGAATACTAAATATTCTAGGATGAATACTAAATATTCTAGGATAAATACTAAATATTCTAGGATGAATACTAAATACTCTAGGATAAATACTAAATATTCTCGTCCTCTTTAAACTATTAAAAATTTTCTTCTTCTAAATTTTACATCGAGCAGAAAATTCTAATTGGCAGTTTGATGTGTTAGACCCTTAAAATCAATAAATATAAGCTAAAATCCACCCAACTAATCATTCAAGCAACAAATCAATCAATCGACAACTATACCTCGTCTTCTGACTTGATTCCTCCATTAGTACCAAGTAGGACGCTGAGCGTCTTGAGAAGCTGGGCTGGGTCAATCCGGGGCATTATATCATTTCTTTTTAAGTACTTTTAGGTCGAAAAAATCGATCTCTGAAAAATGGAGAATTATTGCTTTTTTGCCAAAATTAGGATCGGGCAAAATAGGAAATAAATAGTTTGCACAAACAGTTTTTTGATTTTTCTTTCTAAAAAATAAAATATGACAAAATTAAGAAGTTCTTCTTAGCTTAGAATCAAATTTAATAGAAACCTTTTACATTGATTCAATTTAGGTTGAGGAGAATTGATTTGTTGGCAAATTCTTAACGGCAAGAAAATATGTTTGTTTTGACAGATTTTGCTCTTAAGTTCGTTTTTCAAACCAAATTTTTTTATACTTAAAAGATTCTTTGAGGAGAAGAAGTTTTATGTTAAGTGCTGAAAAAAATACTAAACATTTAAAAAATGGGTTTAAAGGGTTGCTTTAGTTCGTAAGACAATTCTCAAGATATCTTGAGATCTCATCATAATCTCAAAAATCTTGCTATTTATTTTTGCAACCAACGTCATTTCTTGAAAGATTTTATTGATGCAATATTCTTCTGAGAAAAATTGGAACAAAGTATCTCGAACAAATTGGCAACTTGCCAAACAGTTTCTCTCTTTTTTCCTGTTTTATCTTCTACCTGGTAATTCTTGAGTCCTGCAGCATCAATCTAGGGGGGGGGGGAGATTTGAAGGAAAACGTACACCCCTGCAGCTAAACAGAATATTGATTTAGGAACTATTATAAAGTTAATGCAATTTAAATAATTAATCTGTAGCATAGATATGATTCTCGACTTCTGCATTAATGGAAAAGATTTGTTATTCGTTGCAGGAGCGTATGTAAGATGTATAATTTTTTTTTTGGGGGGGGGGCCAGAGGGTTACCATAGAGATGATTCTGCATATAATGCATATATTCTGTATCAATGGTACAGATTTTGAACTCAGGGTAAAAAACATAAAGGAACAGAATAGATTGAATAGATGCATCAATTCTCTGGATTCTGCATCAATGGTATACATAAGTTCGGCTTCAGTGGCGTAGATTCTAACTCAGCGTAGATTCTGCATCAATGTTATAAGAAACTGCATCCATGTTAAACATTTTGAACCAATTGTAAAGATTCTGCGTCAAATGGTCTAGATTCTGCATCAACGGTCTAGATTCTGCATCAACGGTTTAGATTCTGCATCAACGGTCTAGATTCTGCATCAACGGTCTAGATTCTACATCAACGGTCTAGATTCTGCATCAATGTTAAATATTCTGCTTTAATGGTAATGCTTCTGCGCCAATGGAATAGATTCTGCATCAATGGCAAATATTATGCATCAATGTTAAATATTCTACAACAAAATTCTGGTCTAATGCTAAAGATTCTGCGTCAATGGTATAGATTCTGCATCAATGGCAAATATTATGCATCGATGGTAAAGATTCTGTATCATTGCTAAAAATTCTGCATCAATGATGAAGATTTTGCATCAATAGTGAAAATTATAAATCAAAGCATAGATAGTACAAATGTGGAAAATTTGCAAAAGCGATAAAATAATTAATAAATATTTTACATTATTGTAACAAAGATTTGATCTCTTTACTTTTTTAAGCATCACTTTTTGGGAATTTATTCAGTAAGTTATTAAATAAAAAAAGTTTTTAGAATCTTGTCATATCAATACAGATTCTTAACACTGTTTCACAAATATAATTTCTAAATACTCCTGGGCTAGGGATAGGCATCGCAAGAGATTTTCTTTACATTCATGTTTTTTGGGATTAAAAGGTGTTCTAAAACAATCTGAAAAGCAAAAAAAATCCGATTTTCGATAAGTTCTCTTTTAATATTTTAGGCAAAATTTTTTCTCTGACTAAAGATATTAAACTAACAAAATCGTTTTAAACTTCGTTTTGGTTGATATTTTTAACCAGAGTATAGTGTCGAATAATGTAATTCAAGCCAACTTATCAGATTTTGTTTGTCAGATTTCAGATCCTTGTGGAGCCTTAAACAAAAACCTTGAAAGTTTAAACAAATATATTTATAAAAAATGGTTAAAACTATAAATTGAAAGAATAAATGTCAATTTTGAACTAATAATAATTAAGTGTGAGAATTAGTTTTTGATGATACTTGATTTCATTTTCGAACATATATATCCCTATTTTTAAACAATGTCAGATTTTAAGCAGTTACTACTTACGTAACAAAATAAGATTAATTGATAAGGTAAAATATAAACAAAATAGAAAATAAAAACGAATTGTTCTTTTATAATTTAAAATCATTATAGCATTGAGAAATCAAAATAATAATATCATTTGTTCTTACATTATAAATTTAACTAGAAATGCGGGGAACTGTTGGTTTAAAATGCTTGAAAAAATCATTTATATTCTGTAATTTAACAGATAAAATGTGGAAACTTAGATTCTAGAAAAAGTTAATTTACTCTTCATAAGATAATTTTTGTTTTCAGTGATTTAATTTGTAAGTCATGAAAGTGAGTTGTCTTTTGAATTGCGGATTATACTCAGAAACGGGAAAGTGAGTTTTGCTTCAAACCGCGACGATGTTTCAAATTCAGGATATGTTCGAAAATGGAAACCCTGACATTGTCTTGAAAACGGTCAAGAGATTTAATATAAAAATTTTGACTGAACAAAAAGTTTAAAATTGTGAATTGTTGTCCTCGTCATGTTCAACAAAATGTTGGTTATAGTTTTTACTGTCGACTTTTACTCTGGAAATGTACCGGGATCCCAAAAACTCATTTTTTCAATTTGTGCCCATTTCTAACACTGTAAGAAGTGGGCACTGAGTGTTAGAAATGGGCACAAATTGAAAGTGTTAATTTTGAACTAATGTCCCCTGTATTAAGACCATAAAAGTACCAATTACTTGATTATGAAACTAAGTTTCGTCGATATCAATTCAAATTACTGCCCCCCCCCCCTCCCCCTTTTAATATGTATTATACATACATACCTTACTTCATTCTAAAACATCAATTTTCTTTGTTTAGAAATTTTAATAAAATTATCAAATTTTTGTTTTTAACAAAATTTGCTTTCTAATCTCGCTTACTTATTTCATTCTTTTTTTATGATTTTCTAAGAAATAAATTAAACTTGAGATGTCTCTCTATTTTACTTTTACTTTTTTATATTCCTTAACTTTCCCAATTATTCATCTTCTATTTAGCAGCTTTAACAATTTCTTAATATTTTTCAATATTGCTTTCTACTTTCTACTTCCTATTTCTGGATTGAAAACCATACCTACTAGTATGCTTCTCTCCTAATTGGGATAATTAAGTAATAAAACATTAATTTGCCCTGCAAAACATCTTCTAATTCAATGCAAGTGTTTATCCTAGGGCAATTTGGTTTTTGTAAAATTCCCTTAATGTCCCTGTAAAAAACTGGTTTAGAAAAACACACGGGAATAGAAAGAATTAAATGAATATTTAAAATCCATGTCCATAAGAAGTAATCGGTGTAAAATTTAATGGTTTGAGGAAAAATCTAATTATTTAGTCTGTTTGCAAACTGAATTTTTTGAATATCCATCCTGCGACAAGCATTATATTCCCGTATGTCAATCTGTAAACGGAGAAAGTGCGAAGATTCGTCCCAAACCGGGAATCAACCCGCAAACCTCCGATGTGCACAGAGAAAGCGCACTTTTCCCCGAGAGATAATTGTAAAGTAAAGAGTACATAAAATGAAAATCAGAGCAGACAGATGATATTAAATTTAGCTTTATATAGTCCCCAAAAAGATAAGAGAAGGCATTTATTTTAACTTAAGAGTCGCAACATAACTTCATAAACTATTTAGATAGTTATGCAAGCTATATATGTAAAAAAATAACTGTTTTTCATGTGGATAAACTTAGTCTTTGCTATCTTCTTCACCCTGTAATTCATAAACATGATTCTAATCATCTATATATAAATTTGGCCTGTCTGTTTGTATCCAATAAACGTCAAAACGGCTGAACCGATCGGGCCCAAATTTTTTGTGGGACATCTAGGGACCCCAGGGAAGGTTTATGAATGATTGAAATTTTAAATATTTGTCTCCATCAAAATTCGATCTTCATTAAATTTTTGAAAATTTTGAAAATCCGCGAATTATTATTGTTTTGTTTTACGATGTACACAAAGAGAACATGTTCACAATTAATTTAGAAGATGGGCGCGAAGCGCCCTCTAAGGCTAGTATTGTATATTACCCTATGTTACAGCCATCCTGCTGAGTACCCACCCTTTCCTTTATACTTTTTCACCCCCTCCTTACCTTATTCATGATTTATCATCATTGTTTTGTTTAAAATGTACACTGTACAGTGCACATCCATCTATTTATTTACAATTCTTATTCGCTTATAATGGGCCAACCAATCAAAACAACCAACTCTGGTTAGGCGAGTCCAAACTACATAGTAAATTGTAAATTACATAGCAATAGTAAACTACATAGTAATAGTAAATTTGTTATTTGTATTATCTCGTGATTTGTAGTTGAATAAAAATATGAAATGAAATGAGTCCCAATTGTCATCTAAGTGGCCATAGAAAAAAAGTAACCCGACCCGTCAGCACCCCATTAGATAATGAGATGTGAGCCTCAGGATATGTAGGCATAAAGAAGGAGAAAAGAGAACATGTGAACTTCTTTGATATGATAAATAAAAGTTCTAAATCTTATACTTACGGTTTACAAGTTTAAACTGTGGATTTTGCCCCCCCCCCCCC